GTGTTTATGTGCGCTCATATGCAATAAAAGACAGGGATTTACTCATCACAAGATTTGGCTCGGTTAATGAATGTTGGCAATGAATTATACTCAAACTTGGTACGTTCGACAAGCCAATCATTTCTAATGTTTACAGAACTGCCTACGCAACTTACAGTATTCAACACAGATTATATTCTCCAGTACAGTGAAAGCTATAGTGGCAGACTACTTGGACAAAATTTTGTAGGGTATCATATTGAAGGGTATCAGTACTGTGTACCATTTCATCGAGCATTTGAGTTGCTACTGACTGAAAACTTTGCTGCATTTATATTGACAATTGATTCCAATGCAGTTTGCATATATTCCATAAATGATGGGAAATACAAAATATTTGACTCTCATTCAAGGGATATATATAGTAGAAGCCATCCACAAGGGACTTGTGTATTATTAGAGACAGCAACTATCGACCATGTTGTTTTGCATTTACAGTCATTATACGGTGAAAACAGTCAGTTTGAGCTACGAGGAGTAAATATTGAAGAACAACAAGCTTCTTTTCACCACGGCCAAAACCTTAGTGAAAACGGTATGCCTGGTAGTGGTAATGTCTCACAGGAAACTAATACATGTGCATGTAGTTCTGACATTTCTCAATGTTGTGGACATTATATTCTATTTGTTACTCCACTATTAAGCCATGCAATTATTGGGATTCGAATACAGTTTCTGCAATTGCTTATTGGGGCACTATTTTGTATAACAACACTGGTATAAATATTTGGTCTTCAAGTACACTGCCAAGGAAATATTTGAAAATGAAGTACATGTAAATTTACAAGCAAATTATCGAGGAGTATTAAGTGATAATGCAGAAAGCAGATTGGACATTAATTGAACATTGTATATGTGATAATAATGAAAGCACAGGTTTTTTAATTTGGCTTGGAACTTTCTGTATTTCTTGCTTCATTAGTCGGTGGGGCCACCTGTGGTGCCCACCGACTCTAGGTTTGCCCTTTGGTATGCCACAAAATGACAAATTACGTCATTTTAATTACGTAATACTTACGAAATCAAAATCAAAATGGCGACCATGGAATAGCGTGCAAAAGTTCGCTATCGACTATTAGGTCCAGTCGTGTCTTTTCATTTGGGGTTTTTGAAATAAATATATTAAGAATTCACTAAAAGTTATCACGACGTTTTCATTGTTATGTTATCGAGCAGGAAGTAGATAATTTGTACATAATTTCATATATTTTTATCGCGCGGCGGAGACACTGGGCGCGCAAATGTTGATGCTTTCTATATATTTACTATTGAATTTTCGAAATCTCCGGAGCGCAATTTCCAAACTTTCCAGTCAGTAATAATATTTTGGTCTTTTGGATCTACATAAATTGAACTTAAAGTCAGACATCGCCTGCTTCTTTTGAGTCCTATTCCTATTAAATAGCATTGAAGGATTAAGGTTCATTGGGACAAAATGTATTACCAAAAGCTGAAAAGGAGGAACTCAATTTCCTGATATCGTGTGGAAGTAACATAGAATCTTTCTTGGCCCAATAACATATATTATTATTCCATGCAGATCGCCGCCTCTATACTGCACAGGCGCACTGGTATGTAGATTAGTAGATATGACTGAAGCGTTATTGCTATACATAATACAGTCGCTTGGTAATCTCCTCTCACGAGGCATTGTATTACACAGACGTTATAATGTGTTTAGTTTCGAAGGGAAGAATATTCTTGCCTTCCAGCCTTCGACCGGTTGGTAACATTACACCAGCCGATCTGTGTAATGACAACAGGATAAACGCTTATAATTTTAACACATACGATAGATACTGTATACTATATGACTATTAAAACAACATTGCTACATGGTTGTACTTGTTTTAACTATTAGCGCTAACTGCCAGGCAAACTTCAAGATTCAATGTTTTCGGAAAAGCAAACACGCTGTTCTTAAAATTGCATATTTCCATCGCCCAGCGACTTTACGCTCCGTGGAGCGTCTTGTTATATAAAGATTTTTATATAAAGATTTATATATAAAGATTGACTTATTATGCAAACGTTTTTGAAGCCATTTAAAAAACTCGCAGGTCGTGTTTTATTAGGTCTAAAGCTACTCGTGCTGCGCGCTCGTGGGTTTAAACCTAATAAAACACTCCTGCTCGTTTTTTAAATAGAACGTGACGATGCCTATTTGCCAGAAGAATATATGCATCTTATTGGCAGGTGACGTTATCCCTTGGGTATTTAAGAAACCACGTTGCAATTTTAGATCGCACATGATGAAGACACCTGGCTGGAGTGTCGAAACGTTGGGTCTTGATTACAATTCGACTGGGCTTAATAGCTTTGTAATTATTTATTTAAATCAGAGTAGCGAGCGAAATATAATTGATATACTTGGTTGCAGTGAACGAACAAACTTGGAACCAGAAAAGTGTTAGGCCCGTTTTATACGTCGAATTTTGGTCGCGTCGAATGCAATTAAGACAATAGATAATGAGATAATAAAACTCATTAACCTTCGTTATCTATTGTTTGAATTCCATTCGACGCGACCGAAATTCGACGTATAAAACGGGCCTTAGATATTTAGTTAGTATATATTGGGAGTTAACATCGAGTTGAATTCGAATTCGAGTTCGAGTTGGGCTTCGAGTTGGACTTCGAGTTGGACTTCGAGTTAAACTTCGAGTTGGATTTTTTTTCTTTACTTTTCGGGAAAATGACAATTGTATTTCACCCAACCTTTTTTGCTGCGGAGCGAGCGAGCCTGGACCAAATTTACACATATGGGGGAATTTTATCTTAAACCATTGTTTAATACCGTAGCTGTAGGCCTACATTGTGGTCGTGCGCGATCGGAAATGCTCAGTAACCTTTTTGTCGGTTGTGCTTCCACAACACGCACCAAACCCCTGCAGATATCGGCACCAAACGCCTGCAGATATCGATCAAGTGTTTATTTTCTTTGTTATTTTTACTAACGACTATATATTAAAAAGAACATTAAATACACAGTGGCTTGAAGTTTCACATCTTATTATTATTTTATCTTCTCGTGGTGAAAACTGAAAACAATATTTTTTACTCACTCAAACGAAAAATTTATATTTTCGCACCGCCTTTCGCACAGACTGACTCAGCCCCCTCCCCGGCCCCCCTCTCCCACTGGAACTGCGGAGAAACAGCAGACTAATCTCATAGGCAGTACCATTCTCGTACCCAGAGCCCTTCTTACGCGCGGTCAGCGGAGCGCGACGTGGGGCTCTGGCCAAATCCATATCAAACTGACATCTCATTGGCTACAACGAAGGTTATTGTTCTAATACCGGATATATTCTAAGGTTATAAGAAGGTTATTGTTCTAATACATGGTATAAGGAAGGTTATTGTTCTAATACATGATATCCGGTTATGGATTTGGCCAGAGCCCCTCGTCGTACCGCGCGTAAGAAGGGCTCTGGGTACGAGAATGAGGCAGTGCTGAATGCTGATCAGTCTGCTCTCGCATACTATACCCTGTCTCCGTACCCAGGCGTCTCTTTGTAAAAAAACAGCGATGCGCATATGACGAATATGTTCACATGAATTATTGTACTACTACAGTACCGCCGTCTAACATGCATCCTCTATATAGTACTCTCTTTGACCTTTCAATACTAATAATGCAACACATCCTCACATGTAGTATTAGGGAGGCTGGGCGGGCAGGGGCGGGAATATTAAAAAAATGTAGTCATTTTTAGATTAGGATTAGAGCCCGATTAAGATTAAACCAGGGTTAGGGTTAGAGGTGGGGTTGGGTGGGGGTTAGGGTTCAACTTTATATAAGGCATATCTTTAATCTTTAGAAAATTTGACAATTAAGGATAATTCCTAATACTACGTGTGAAGATATGCAGAATAGTACTAAAAGTTTCGAATACACATTTTAAACGAATTTTAGTTTCAATTAACATTTTAATTGTTTTCCAAATACACATAGCGGTAATTACTGTATAAGATGGACAACAAAGTGCATTATAAAAACGATTTATAATAAAGTAAATTTACATTGCTACGTTTCATTCTCCATACGGCATACTTTTATAAACGTAATAACACGTGTTTGAAGTTGCGAAGAAGTAAACATGAATTGGAGTTGTTCGGAAATTACCAGAACATTCGGAAACGCCAGTGTATAAGTAACTCGAAGTTTACCTCGAACTCTAACTCGAATCCAACTCGATGTTTCGGGATTCCCGTATATATCATATTTTACAAATGTAGCAGTTCAAAATACAAACAAAGCGTTTGTTTACATTACGGAGTTTACAGCGTCTTTAATCTAAAAAACACTGGGAATCCCGAAACATCGCGAGTTGGATTCGAGTTCGAGTTAAACTTCGAGTTACTTATACATTGGCGTTTCCGAATGTTCTGGTAATTTCCGAACAACTCCGATTCATGTTTACTTCCTCGCACTTCAAACACGTGTTATTACGTTTATAAATATGGAGAATGAAACGTAGCAATGTAAATTTACTTTATTATAAATCGTTTTTATAATACACTATATATGTTGTACTTCTTATACAGTGATTACTATGTGTATTTTGGAAAAGAATATATAATTTAAAATTTGCACATTTTAAGTATTGTTTCATTCAAAATATGTATTCGTAACTATCAGTACTATTCTGCATATCCTCACAAGTAGTATTAGATTATCCTTAATTGTCAAACTTGCTAAAGATTAAGGATATACCTTATATTAAGTTGAACGCTAACCACCACCCAATCCCCACTCTAACCTCTAACCCTAACGCTGGTTTAATCTTAATCTGGCACTAATCTAATCCTAATTTAAAAATGACTATTTTTTTAATATTCCCGCCACTGCGCTTCCAGCCTCTCTAATTACTACGTGTGAGGATATGTTGCATTATTAGTCTTGAAAGGTCAAGGAGAGTACTGTACACGCGTAAAAATTGAGGAAAAAAAAACTTGTTGCAAGTTGATATCAACCGGCGTGAACAAGGTTGTGCGGCCCACTATGAACAGTACTGTCAACATGTTGTTGCAGCATTGTTCAACTGTAACAACTTGGAACAACATGGTTGACAACTTGTTCATAGTTGGCCGCACAACATTATTCACGCCTATCGATATCAACTTGCAACAACCTGTGCGTTTTTAGCCGTGTATAGAGGATGTTAGACGGCGGTGTAGTACTACAATACTTCATGTGAACTCGTCATATGCGCATCGCTGTTTTTTTACAAAGAAACGATAGCAGACATTCTCGTACCCAGATCCCTTCTTACGCGCGGTGTGACGAGGGGCTCTGGCCAAATCCATAATTGGATACCATAAAAACATGGTAAGAAAACAATGTCCGGTGTTAGAACTAGCCAATCAGATGCCAGTTCGGAATATGGATTTGGCCAGAGCCCCCCGTCGCACCGCGCGTAAGAAGGGCTCTGGGTACGAGAATGCGATAGCAGACTGATCAGCACCAACCTCGTACCCAGGGCTTCTGCGCTTATTGCTCTCAGAAGCCCTGAGATAATCCAAACCGGAACACCATAAAAGATTGGTGCCCCCGGAAGCGGAAGTAAGCAGTAACTTCAACTAAAAACGCTGACTGGGCATATTTTTACGCAAGGAGTGAGAATGCATTATTTGTTGCAATTAATAATAAATTTGGACTTCTAAAGACGTCTTAAACTGCTTCTCGCGTGGCTTTTGGAATTTAAAGTCAGGAATGATCAATTTAGAGATACAATTATGCGTAAAATAAGCCCTTTGGCGAGCAAAAGAACATCTTATATCGCGACAAAAGCATACCTTGTCAGCGATATGCAGAGGCTATTCCGATAATTAAAGTATAAATATATATACTCGAGTACAACCTTGGTCATTTCAAAGTCAACAAACTAGAAATCTTACTGGTAACATGGCCGGCTGCCGATTATCTTGGATTTGAGGGTTTTGAATAAGATATTGCAAGATTTAATTATGAATACACAAGATATACTGCACTGTAAACATGCATCTACTTGAAGAATGTAAAATGAACAGTGATGAGTGATGTAATATAATTATGTACTTATTTGGAAAACCTTTTTGGCAAATCTTGAGAATAATGGCTTTGGGAATGTTGAAAATTAAAAACTGTCAGATAGCTGCATGGACAGCATGGTTAGAAGCATACATGTCATCAGATGAAACTCCAACTTTTGTTAATTGCCAACTGAAATACAATATTTAATTAATGACAATTGATATTCTAGTATTGGAATGAACAGTGTTATAAGAATCAATGGTGCTGAACTAATTTGGGTTTATTATAAAATATTGTTTATCATTTACTTCTGGCCATTAACCTTACCTATTAAGTTATACATTGTGTCCTAATTTCTATTTTACTCTGACTGTCTAACACCAGATGATTTTATATGTTGGGATAGATCACTGGTGCTCAATGGATTATTTCATAATACATACTAGTTTGTTAACGTACTCTGTCTAATTATGCTAACACCACTGGCAATGGAATTGAGCAGTGATGTAGCCAGGATTTCTAATCAAGGCCTTCAAGGGGGACTGAAATCCCCAGGAGGGGCCTGCACTAGTTTGAATAAGTTTGTTATTATGTAAAAATGGATTTGGACTCCCAAGCTATCCATGTATAATATAGTACAATGTAGTTTTTGAAATTCTAGTTGGTAAACTGCCATTTGGGGGGGGGCTATTTTAATGTGTTTTTTTGGGGGGACTATTTTAATGTGTTTTGGTGATTTGAAATAACCATTCAGTTAAGTTAAACACATGTTCAACTTACTCTACTTAATTGCAAACAAGTCCGGAACATTTAAAATATTTTGACCCCCCCCCCTCTGGTTACACCAGTGGAATTGACTTGAGCCTTTTAGACCTCTGGATTTTAGTTGCAACTTAGAACAGTATTCTGACATACAGTGATGAGTCGTTGGGTCGTTCCAGAAAAGATCCACACTCCCCCCACAGAGGAAATTTCTGCCGTCTGGAGGGGTAGGGGGAAAAAATTGTTTCTGATAATAGTAAATGTATTAGGACATCCAAAGGGGTAGGAGGGATTAAC